GTGATATGGTAACCACTGAACAGTCATGGATTCCGCTATTCGACAAAATAATCCTCTGTTTGGCCACAGAATACACAGTCACTAGACTGCACAGAGTGTCCTGTGAAGCAGTTTCAGACGTCTGAATAATGAAATTTGTCTCTATATCAAAGGCTATCAATATTATGACTGATTATTGTTATTAATGTTATTCCCGTCCCCACAGTGTGTGGAGGGAGGGAGGGATTGACAGGTCTGGGACAGGAGCTTTGGGATGGGATAAAACGGGTTGTTTCCTGGCTGGAGTCAGCTGGGGGAGGAGCAGCTCCTGTCCACACGTCACCACAGCTGCTGTTTCCACCTCATGGTTCAGATATCTTGTTAATACATGTTAGTTTGTGATCACTGAGGTGACTGATGGTCTCACACTGTCACACCGATTCCTGACACAATATTCAGAATCAACTGATCAGCCAGTGTCAATAACACCCTGAGATATCGGGGGAATTCAGCCTCGGGATATTATATTCTCACACAATCTGTTACTTACCTCAGACTCTGTATTTTACACTGCGGGTTCCTCAGAGCCTCACACAGTTGCTTCACTCCTGAATCTCCCAGTTTATTATCACCCAGGTCCAGCTCTGTCAGTGAATGGTTTGTACTGAGAGCGGAGGCGAGATCCTCGGCACAATCAGCTGTCAGACTGTTAACCCACAGCCTGGAGACCAGAGACACAGAGAGATAACAGGGATCAGAGTAAACACAGTGTAGAAGTGAGTGTGAGACACCCCAGGCCTCAGTGGAAGCCAGAGCCTGACACACACTGGGGCAGGTCCAGATGGACAAGGAGACAGAAGCCAATCATTGTTCAAAATGACAAATGTGGAGGTTTCGCTGGTTAAACTCCAGCCGTCACCCCAACACACACTGTACCCCCACCCAACCCAAGCCTTGTCTGTTAGTATCTGCCCCCAATCCTCTACAGCAGGGATCGGCATTTTGTGGCTCGCGGGTGGGGGTGAAGTGTTTATTTTACGTTTGTGTCGTGTGGCTCAATGAAACATCGGGAGAATTCAGCCTCGGGATATTATATTCTCACATAGTCTGTTACATACCACAGTTTCTGTATTTTACACTCCGGGTTCCGCAGAGCCTCACACAGTTTCTTCACTCCAGAATCTCCCAGTTTATTACTATTGAGGCCCAGCTTTGTCAGTGAGTTGTTTGTAATGAGAGCGGAGACGAGATCCTCGGTACAATCAGCTGTGAGTCTGTTACCCCCCAGCCTGGAGATCAGATAACATAGATCAATTCGAGGCTCAGGGACCCCTGATTGTGCCCTGTCGGGGGACAGGGGATGGGTGGGTTGACTGCTGGTGTATGACCAGCTAAAGCTGCATAACGTCCCCCGTGAGAGCTGTCTCTGGGTGCCATCTCGCTGTTTTCTGTATCCGACCCTCCCCAAACTGTAAATACTGTGTCTCACTGCGTTAACAGGAGCTGGGTGGGAAGAATCTCTGCTCCCAGTGATTTCCATCCACATCCTGCCACTGAGCCAATCCTTGTAGCTTTTCAGATTTCAGCATTAAAACTGTCCACACCTGCTCGGGCTATACTAATCTATGTTTAGAGCAAGTTACTGACCCCAAGTCCACAGTCTGTTACTTACTCCAGTCTCTGTATTTTACACTCCGGGTTCCTCAGTGCCTCACACAGTCGCTTCACTCCAGAATCTCCCAAATTATTGCCCCCCAGCCTGGACACAGAGACAGTAACACAGTAACTAGAGTGTAACAGTACAACACACAATTGACATCTATATACAGAAGCCTTTCAGGTGGGGAACATGTCCCAACGAGCTGGGACCAGTTGCGGTTGATCCATAAAACAGCTGAAATGTATATTACGTTCACTTAGGGTAATGTCTCAGAGCTTTACAGGGACGCAGATTAGAAGGTTCGAGCGGCCCCCAGTCTAAATGATACCAACAAAAACGCCACATTATATTTACACAGCGCTGTTCACGTCAGGAGGACGCCCCAAAGCGCTGGACAATGAGGCCTTTGTGCCCGTGGTGAGGGTTGGGATCAAAGAGGGTGGAGGGCAGTGGATTGGGGTGGGAGAATGACTGAAGAAGAAGGGTTTGAGATGGGCTGTGAAGGAGTTGAGGGTGGGGACGAGGCGGAGGGGCTCCAGGATGAAGTTCTCGGGGTTGCAGGCAGAGAGGCTGAGGGACTGGCCGTCGATGATGGAGCAGGCAGGGCGGGGGACGAGGAATAGGTCAGTGCCCGCCGAGCGGAGGGAGCGGACAGGTTGACATCTTTGGTAAACACCACTTCGTCACTCTCACACACCCGAAAGTTGCCGGTCCCTGGGTTGGCTCCTACCCCCTCGAGGCGTCTCTCCTACTCTGGATCCACCAGCTGAGGCCCCACAGCCCTCACTCCCCGCACTCAACAGCCAAATCTCCTCCGGCCCATGTAACTGAGCAACAGGCTTCCTTTGCCCTGTCTTCAGGGCTGCAGGTGCTTCCTGTGCTGCCGTCCAGAGCAGAGAGCTTCCTGGGGTCCACCGCAACCCTATGTCTGACACAGTAAGAGATACAATCAGAGTAAACTTACTGCAACTCCTGACACTTGTGCAGAGCAGGAACTAGACGTCGGAGACCCTCATCCTGAATGCAGCAGCTGCTCAAATTCAGTAGTTTTATGGTATCACACAGTCCAATGACCTGAGACAGCACAACACAGTCTATCGGTGTCAACCTCAAGGCTTTCACTGGAGATATGTCACCCAATGTCAGTGTTTGTACAGACCCCAGTGTGAGCTGTGCCAGGGCTTGATTCTGAGACTCAAACAGGTAGTGGAGTGTGTTCAGCAGCTTCCTTTTCCCAGTGACGGTGTCTGTGTCTCTGTTCTGGGCTTTAAACTTCTCCTTCAGCCAATCGATCACCGCGCAGGTTGTCTGATGATCAAACGGCCCCAAAAACTGCTCCAGTGGCTGAGCTGCTCGTGGGGAGCAGAGACCCGCAACAAAGCGCAGGAATATCTCGAATCGACCATCATTCTCCCTGTCAGCAACATCCAGACATCTCCTGATGGTTTTGCAATGTGGAGACAGGAACTGGGCGAGTGCGGCTACAAACTCCTGGATGGTCAGGTGCGGGAAAGCGTAGACCACGTTGTGCTCTGAAGACGCTCTCTGCATAAGTTCCATGAGAAAGCCAGAGAGGAACTGGGAAGGTTGGAGGTCAGATTTGATCAGATCTTCATCATTAAAAACGATGTTTTTCTGGGAAACTCCAGTGAAGGCCATGGCACCAATGTTTAGCAGCACATAACGGGGGCTTTCCACCTTGACACTGTGATGTGATAGAATGTGGTATATATAATAGGAGAAGAGTTGTGTGATCGTCTTGGGAACACGCTGTTTGTTGCTGTTTTTCCGTTTAAAGAAGGGACCCAGAGATAGAGCGAGGATCCAGCAGTAGGACGGGTTGTAGCACATGGTGGACAGGAGCTCGTTCTCCTCCACGTGACTGTAAACAGCAGCCGCCACCTTCTGATCTTGAAAGAACTTGTGAAAATATATCCTTCTCTCTTCACCCACAAAACCCAGGATTTCAGCCCAGACACTGACCTGAGCCTTTGCCAGTAAATGTAATGCAGTGGGGCGGCTGGTCACCAGCACTGAGCATCCTGGCAGCAGCTTTCGCTGTATTAAACTGTACACAATGTCAGACACTTTACAGCAGAATTCAGGGTCTGTGCACCTGCGTTGAGGCTCTGTGTCTCTCCGATTGTCACCGAAATCAATTCTTGCTCTGAATTCATCCAATCCATCAAATATAAAGAGCAATGTCTCTGGGTGTTTCCACAGCTCGTCCAGAACATCCCTGAGGTAAGGATACTGCTCCACGATCAGACGGCTCAGGGCTGTTCCGCACTGAATGGTGTTTAGGTCTCGGAATTTAAAAACAAATACAAAGTGAAAGTGAGGGTAGATTTTGCCTGTGGCCCAGTCATGGACAAGCTTTTGAACCATGGTTGTTTTCCCAATCCCCGCCACTCCACTCACTACTGCGGAAGTACCTGTGGGAGAGACAGAACCGCTTCCCTGGTAGAATTTTCTAATCACGGACAATAATCCTCTTCTGGAGAAGCTGCTGTGGAACAGTTTATCAGTTCGGATTTTTTCCAGCTTTCCCCGGAGCTCCTTCTGTCTCCACTCCTCGTGGTCTCTGCCTCTCGCCAGCAGCTCATGTTCTACCAGTTTCCGGTGACGGAGATCAGAAATGATGGTTAACTCCGTGTAGCGGTCAACCAACTGAAACGTCTTCACCTTCTCCTTGATCAGTATGGTCTTCACTTCTAGGCTTTCACTTTGTTTCTGTAACATCTCCTTGTGCAGTCGTTGAACATCTTCAATTAGAGCATTGACACAGGGGTTAGACACACCTCCGGCACCCACCTGAAGGCAGCGACTCAACACTTTGTGGATTATCAGTTGGGAGGATTGTGTCAGTGTAGAGGCAGAGGGACAGAGGTAGAACTTCAGAAGAGTTTTAATACACATAGAGATATACATTGTGGAGCGGAGGAGAGGAGCAGAAGAAGGAGATTGGAGAATGTCGCGAAGATAGGAAGTCACGAAAAACATTCTGAACATCTGCGATCAGGGCTCCCTCTGCCTCCTTGTTCTACTCAACATCTCTGCCACCTTCGACACTGTCGACCACTCCATTCCCATACACCGCCTCTCCTCCTCACTTAATCTTCGCGGATCTGCCCTTGCCTCCTTCCATTCCTATCTATCTCACCGTCTCCAACTTGTTGCCTCTAACGGTTTCTCCTCCAGCCCCCGCACTGTCACATCTGGCGTCGACTATTGTTCGGCCCTTAGCCCTCTCTTCTTTTCTATGCACGTGCTCCCCCTTGGTAACATCATCCGCAGATATGGGATCAACTTCCCCATGTATGCGGATGACATCCAACTCTGTCTTTCTGCCTCCACCCTCAATTCCACGACCGCTGTTGTCCTGAAAGACTGTCTGTCGGACATCGAGTCCAGGACTAGGGCAACTTCCTACAGTTGAATGTGAACAAGACTGGGGCCCTCCTGATTGGCTCGCGCCAGAGCCTCATTTCTAGGCTTTCACTTTTTTTCTGTAACATCTCCTTGTGCAGTCGTTGAACATCTTCAATTAGATCATTGACACAGTGGTTACACACACTTCCAACACCTACCCGAAGACAGATACTCAACACTGTGTGGATTATCATTTGGGAGGATGGTGTCAGTGGGTGGAGGCACAGTCACAGAGGTAGACTTCAGAAGAGCTTTCAATAAAGACAGAGTTACAGATTGTGGTGTGGATGAGTCGCGCAGATGAAAATTGTTGGAAAAGTTACAGAGGTAGGATCGGTGGGAGTGAGTCAGGATATATAAGATATATTGTGGAGACTGAGCATCTCCACGACAATCTGAAGGAGACAGCGTGACAGTGAATCCTGCTGAGGATGGAGGTGACGGACGTATGAAGCTCAGTGTGTGTAGGGTTGGTGGCATTCAATTATGGATGAGTTGGAAACTGGTGGATGGTAATGCTGGAGAGGGCGGCCAGGAGGGGAACAATATAATCAAACTGATGTCCCTCCAATTCAACTCTCAGATCATCAGTACTTTCTGGAAATCTCAATGTAAATGGCAAAGATTCAACCTCTGCATTTCAGAAATAAATCCACTGGTTACACTATGAACTGGTCAAATACCTTTCAGGTTCCTGGGTATCTGTCGTACACGTTGGTCAATCATCATTTCGTTTACTAGACTGGCACCTGTGTATAGGGAGATTTCCTTTAGTTTCAGTGATTGCAGTATCTAGTGAAATATGTATTTCATTAGGGAATGGAATCACTGTAAAATTAAATACTACCTTCTTCCTGTATTTCAGTCATTATTTTGTTCAATTTGGGCAGAGTGGGTCTCATTTCAACGAACCATTCCCATGCCTCTCTACAGACCCGGGAACCTTTCCCCAGCACCAGGTTCAGAAGATGTTTCGAGCTTTGTCTCTTCCGCCCACTCTGTGTGAGCTCAGTCAGTTTCTGCAGAGAATGAGTAATATTATATTGAAGAGCAGAGTAAAACATGAGCTCTGATTTTGATCAGGAAATGGCCAGTTCCACCATGGTGTGTCTTCTCATGGTGGGTGAGGCTCCACAGCCACGGATTGCCCTCCGTTACCTCAAACAAATGTTTACTATTCGTGAGACTTGCCAGTGAGATTACTTCAGACAGTGTCACAGCCCAGCCTGACTTCTCCTCACCCGCCTCTCACACACAGTGATCTGGAGATTTAACTGCTGTACAATAGGGACTGTCTGCAATGGGATCAAGTTAAAGCAATGTTCCAGGGAAATATGTAACATTCTGACACAGCATCATTTGGTGTCCTTTCCCCAATATTATCCTCTTTCTCCGCATCTACTTGTGCTGCTTCATGGATGTGATGATTCGTTTCTGATGAAGAAGGAACCTGGACACAATCCTGAAATTGTCCCTCCACCTCATCCCCTCTATCCCGGATTCTCTCCACCTCATTCCTTCTATCCTGGAGTCCCGCTATCCATTTCATTTCTTTATATAAATGGAATGTGGGTCTTGTCTTCCCCACTCGACCCTCCCCCGCACTGGTCACTGGAGGATTGGGTATAAAAGATCGGCTCGTGTCAAACGTGAAACCTATAAAATCAAAGTGGTTTTGAATGGAAACACTTTGCACTACAAACATAGAGACATGTACCAAATAGGATTAGTTCTTCCCTCCTGACCACCTACTTGAAGTTCCTGCTGGCTGAAATATTCCTTCCTTGTCAACAGTGAGATGACTGCCTCCATGTCTTCCTCAAAGGCCTGTTCTATTCTGTCCCGGTAGAACTTAGTGAGTCTGAACAGCTGGTGTCCCTCGTACAGGTCGAGGGTCTCGTAGAATGCGGCCATTAAACCTGTCAACAACAAGTCATACAATCAAACTAATTCCATACTTCAATGCACGTTCATATCTTAAACACATTTCATGATCCATCGCTATGTGTCGGCCTGGATCAGTGGTAACACACTTGTCTCTGAGCCAGAAGGTTGTGGATTCAGGCCCCGCATGAGAATATTAAATCACATCGTCTAATCTGACTCTCCAAAGCTGTGCTGGAGATGTGCTGCAATGTTGGACACACCATCCTTCAGATCAGACACCTCGCTTGTGAGGTGAGTAACTAACCAATACGCTGCCAATAGGAACCCATTTGGAACCAATAGGAACCCAATAGGAACCAATAGGAACCCATTTGATTGGAAGATCACTTTCAGGGGACAATATTATTTGTAGAAATTTAGTAATTTGGTCACTCAATTCATGACTGTTTGTGTGTGACACTGCTGTGGGCAATTGGCTGCTGGGTTTTGCCACATAATATACAATCAATTCACTTTAGAGACTATTCTGTGAAGAGATTTGAAACGCAACAACTGGATAATAATGTGTTACATGAAATGCAAAGATTATTATTATTCATTATTATTTTGGACATTAAATTGTCCGCCTTTTAGGTGGTCGGCAAAGATCCCACGGCCAAACCAGATGAGAGGTGTTCTGGCCAACAATCCCACATAACGAATTAACTCACACATTTGACTGATATTGCTGTGTGAAAACTGGCTGCCATATTTCACCCACATAATAGAATCATAAAATTATACATCACAGACAAAAGTTATTCGGCCCATCGTTTCTATGCCAGCTCATTCAAAACCACTTCATTCCCACTCAACACTCTCTCCCCATAGTCCTGGACACTTGTCCTCCCCAAATAATTCTAATTCTCTCTTAAAAGTTGCTATCGAATCGGCTCCACCCTCCTTTCAGGTAATGCCTTCCAGATCCGAATA